TTCTCTCTCCCTCCTCCTCTCGCGTGCCTCCTACGAGACGCCTCGTACCTGCAGCGGCTCTACCGAGGACCTTCCTCTCGTTCACACCTTTAACCAAGGCCAGATCGAGTGGCACCGTGCCGGCTCGGCGCTCAACCACATGGCCAGAGTCCAAGTGGGCGTGAGCCAGTAGTCCCCTATCCTCCTACATTCCCATCTCCCTCGTCGACGTGCTCCCTGTTACCCAGAGCACGTCGCCCTCCTTTGCATCCCCCCCTCCCCTTTTTTTTCTCGACTCGCTCGGTTGCTGCTTGCCCGGTCCTTCCCTCCCCCCCTCCTCTCGCCCGCCTACCTGCACGACGGAAATATAGCTGTACTCTCTCTCTCTCTCGTTCTCGTTCGTGTCTCTCTCTGCGGCGAGGTGTCGAGAGTGCGAGAAAGGGAGCGCCCCGCGAGAGCAAGAGCGAGAGCAACGAGGAGACAGGCTGGCGACGCGCTCGCTCTCTACCGGGCCCGAGCCTGCTGGCGCCGGTCGCACGCACTCTCTCTCGAGAGTCAAGGACGACGCACGACGCGGCCGGGCGACGTCGTCGCGGCAGAACTCGTCGTCCTGGCCACCCGCTCCCTCGCCGCTCGGACCTGCTCGCGTCTCGCACCGCTCTCTGCGTCGCTCGCTCGCTCCTTTGTGCCTCGAACTTGCTCGACGCGTCGTACAGGGCTGCACACGCAGGTGCCGCTCGTCTCGGAAGCGCCGCAGAGTCTCGAACGACGAAGAGAGCGTCGACGCCGTTTGAGAAGGTCGCCGCCGGCAGCGTCTCGTGCTCTCTCGCTGGCTTCCGCTGTGTGCTGATTCGTAGAGCACGCGTCCAGGTGAGCGGAGCGAGCGAGGAGCACGTCCGCAAAAAGCGAGGAAGCTCGAGCCGAGCTGTCGACGAGCGCGCCTTCAACTTGCCTCACTGCACAGGGGCGGCATGCAGGCACGACGACGACGACGGTGCACGACAATGCTGCTCTGTCGTCCATGGCGGGTCCCAACAGGACCGTCGGGCATCGTCGCCTCAGCGCTCGAGCTCGTCGTCTGCCCTGGCTCGGGCCTCCTCCTCGCAGACGCTGCACTCCTTCGCCGCTCGCTCTCGTTGCGCTCAGGCTCGGCGATACTGGCACAGGCGTCCCGTACATCGCACGCCGCCCAGCGAGCACCACGACGAGCGTCGCGCACGTCGTCCGAGACGTCGAGCTGGACGTGCGTCTTGACCTTCTCGACTTCTTTCTCTCGGTCATTCCCTCTCGCGTCTCCTGTTTCGATGCGGCCCAGCGCCCGTCGAGACGAGTACTGCGCGACATGCGCCCTTTCGTTCCGCGAGGAGAGCGCTCGACCGAGAAAGCGGTCCTTCGCGTTTGCGTTCGGGATAGAACTCGAGCCGCTTCAGCATGTCGGTCTCGTAACTCGTATGCACGCCGCGAGACGGACGAAGCTGAGGAAAAGGCGAGTCGCTGCAGGGCAGCCGAAAATTGCGCCTGGAGAGCACTCTCGCGGACGAGCGGGACGAGCGGCGGCTTCTCGTCTCCAAGGGTGTCGATCTCGGGCTGTGTGTGGGAGAGCAAAGAAAACGACACGTCGGGAGCTGGCCATCACTCATTCAGACGACGAGACGAGGCCAGAGCGCGACGAGGGAGGGGGTGCCAGCGACGAGAGCGAGCGGCGCGCGACGACTTCCCCTCGCCCCTTTCTCCCTCTCCCCTTTCTCCTCTCCCATCTTCTCCTCTTGCCACGATTGGCCTCTCTATCTAGCTTTCTCCGCCCTG